ATGTCCTTTAGTTACCTTTTCAATAGAATATATTTGATGCTTTGGGAACAAAACTTGTTAAATAATCTTGCCATTTGTCAATCAATAATTACCCAATTTTATATTTATAATATATTTTTTTAAATCGGGGATAAAATAAATTCCAGTTTTTTGGCAAACGATTTACAGTTAAGTGCACTACATCTCACGAAAATGTTAAGTCTTTCGGAGACTGACTACCACTGCCTTCCATAAAAATTTGAACCTTCCCCTTTTGCAGAATGTTTTGTTCTTGTTTCTGTCTCAAACTCAAGCATACAATTATTGTTATTATTTAATTTACCTAACTTGAAAGGTGGAATGAGTCGTTTTGTATGGAAGCTGTGCAAAATATTTGCAAGGCACACTGTGGAAACACCCTAATAAGTAAATTATAAAAAAAAACTCAAACAAAGAACACCCGGAGCAATGGCGGATTTTCGATTAACCATTAACTCCGACAAATGATTATGTGTTATTATTGAGATGAACGATTAAATTGCCGATCTGTAATATTCTTGAAACACCAAAAAATATTGTCCATAAATATTCAAGACGTTTGAATATATTGATGATTATTAGTACCTACCAATTGAATGTATTTTTTTGGCATTTTTTTTTAAATTTCTTTTCGTCGTATATTATTGAAAATATCAGCATTGGGCAAAATTTAGTGTAGGAAGGCCCAAGGGGAAGATCTTCTTCCGAGCTGGATGATGGTAGCTCGGGGGCCGCGGCCCGACTGATGCTGATCGGGCATCGTATATATGCAGTGTTTTGGCTCCGAATTTCTCTTGCGCGATGTAGGCTTCCATACGTTGTGAACGCAGCGTCGGTAGCGCCATCTCTTAAGGCGGCGAGTGACTATATCCTCCATGTTGATTGTATGTGGGGCATGTAGATGTCGCCGCCATATAAGATAGAATCTCATATTCCAGATTGGAAGTAGGATCAACCTTATGAACTGTTTGAAGTACAATGCAGCACCTCAAGACAGTGTATAAGCATTTTAATCAATAACTTACTTAATTTTAGGTTCCAGGGCTCCACGGGAATTGGATTGTGCGAGGGTAGGTACGTACGAATATATTTTTGGTATCGCAAGCGTCTATAGGCTATCGTGGCCGCTTACCATCTGGAGGGCCATACGACTGGTTGCACTCCTTAACCTTTTGACATAAAAAAATTGTAGATACTCACTGAACGCGCTATACAGGATGTAAAAAAAACTATGACAAAGACTAAGCTACGCCTTCTGTACACCCAAACAAGTAATATTTCAAAATATTATTGGGATCTGACATGGAGGCGTGGCCTATTCAATATGGCGCCGACGGGGGTGCATTTGCCTAGTCAAACCGTGATGAAATACCTTAAAATAGTTAAATTTATTTAAGGCCAAAAGAGAATACGAGATGTTTTGTTTTAATTTTACGTACGTCATTATAATTCGCTCGCGTAAACTCATTCTCGCATTAGAATATGTGACACCATTGTCGGTGAGTGTTTTAACAATATCGACGATGGTGTCTAAAATTTCTAGCGTTTCGATTCCAGTCGCAGTACTCAACGCTTCGTTGTCCTTTATGAACATTGTGAAACTGGGTCTTAAATAATCACTTTCCACTTGCACTCCGATATCTGCAAACGACTTCGTCTCTGCTTCGACGCAGTAACTATTTTCTTCTTTGTTATCCACGTTTTCCAAGATTTCCTCGGTCTTCGGATGCTGAGAGTCCTCTTGATCCTTCGTTTTTTCCTTTAATCCTTTCGAACTTTCCGTCTGAGCATTTCTCCTTTTCAATCTTTTTTCTCTTTCGGTCTCTCCTGTTTTTTTTTCCTTCCGCCCTACTGTGCTTTGAGGCAGATTACAGGATGGAATCGCAGTTTTCTTCAACTGTCGTTGTTGGGATGGAATGTCTGCAAAATATCAATTGATTATATAACTAAACCAAGGAAACTCTTTCATTTTAATGTTGTTGCCGTCCCATTCTTTTCTTAGTGGAATAATAATGAGATCTTGTAAAATGCTACTTCACACATGCTTAACCTCAAAAAACGAATTTGACTCACCTGGTAATATATAGTCGTCTTTCAGAAAATGCAATGAACACACTTTCATGTGAGGATTTATTTTACAGTCAATCTTCAAAGCGTTCTTCCATGCTGTGAATTGGTCCACTTTTTCCATTTGACCAAAATAATTTTTGATGTAAACACAACGCGCATTTTTTTTAGGAAACTTATGAAACGTTAATTCACGGTTTTTTTGAAAACTGCTTCCACATCCATACACACAACACTTTATTCTTTTTTTAGAAATCTTGCGAGGGTTAAATATTCCTAATTCTTCCGTCATTTTTTGTTTAATTTCTCAAAAGTACTAATGACACTAATGATAACTTATGTGTTTTGATGAGCGATGCACCCCGGTATTAGTTCCAAAATTGAACACCAGGTGTCTCACGAATTTTGTCAGATCCCAATACATGGGAATCATTTGTATTTTTAAGTAAAAAAAAAATACATTTGTTTTGCCAGTACGCAATGTATAGCGCGGCGTGCTACTGTGGCGCTACGCAAAAAATGTGCCTGTGTGTGTGTGTGTGCGTGTGTGTAAGTGCGTCGATAAAAAAGTTTCTAAATAACGTTTTGAAAATATTAATGTAAAAATCTTGAAAAGAAAATTGTGACTTTGAACTTCAATATCTCCATAACCATAAATTTCCCAGGTATGGTCCAAAAGAAAAAAATGATCGTCATGATGTGGAAAATACGTGGTCTTCAACTTCGTTAAAGGATTTTTGACACCCTGTATATCAGTGATATAAATGTTATTATAACTCAGTTGACAAATGATGTAAACAATTAAAAGGGTAAAAAATATTTGATATCAGAGTTTATAAAAAAAATGATCATAATTATTATAAATTTTCAAGTTTTGAAAAAAATCAGATTCACAAATCGCAATCCTTAAGGTTCAATAGTTCCCGTAAAAGAGATCCAATGGGCACTTTCAATATAATCTATTGGGGAAATCCATTAGGGTTCGCAAAGGTGCATACAAATAAGGTCCAAAGTTGCAGTAAGGTCTAATCTTGAAGGTCCGGTGGGTGACCGAACCAGATGAATTAAAAAAAGAGCTCCAAATAGAGCATTGAATATAAAATTATTATGAAGGTCGAATGGGCTATGTAATGAGGTCCTATAGGCACTAATTGCTTTTGGGTCGAATCTTGAAGGTCCAATGGGTACAAAACCAGTTTTACCATTTATCACCCATGATGTCAGCAGGACTACATTGTTGGTAGACCGAATCACCTCCAAATAAACAACAAAAGGCGTCGCCATTAACTCAGGATTGATTCTCGGGCGCCGCGTCGTAACTGAATCACTGACAGACAGACGGTCGTTCATTTCTCCCAATAATTATGTCAGTATAATAACAAAGCGCGCAGCATAATTGGTAGCCGTACCCTGCGGTTTCTCGTCAAATTACACGTTGCGAACGCCCAGGGCCACGTCTGTCTGTTCGTCCGTCCCCTTTTATTAGTATCTACTTAGTTCGCTTTTTTCATAAAGCTGTAATAACAAACTTCGATAAGTGCAGGGCAAATCGACAAGCCGACTTTATTGTTCATACTTATATGTAGCTTGGGAATGAGTTCGTTTACACATAGTTAATGTAGAGAAGAAATACTTTTCTAGTTATATTTTTATGTCTTAAGCATTTAACTATAATAAATATAAATATTTCCAACACTCACACCAATTAGCCTAGCCCCAAAGTAAGCACTATAAGGCTTGTGTTATAGGATACTAGGGTAACGGATAGAATATATATACTGTACATATATAAGTATACTAGCTGACCCAGCGAACTTCGTACCGCCCTAAAAAAATAGGGGTTGTCCAGCGGACAAAATTGTGAATCTAAACCATTCTCAGATCCCCTTGAACACACACAAAAAATTTCATCAAAATTGGTCCAGTCATTTAAGAGAAGTTCAGTGACATACACACTTACAGAAGAATTATATATATAAAGATTTATATAGAAAATACATATTAAACATCCACGACTGGAGTACAAATGCTCGTATTCATCACACTAACATCTGCCCCCACCGGGATTTGAACCCAGGACCTCTCGAGTCGGCGACACCATGAAACCCGGCGTACAAACCACTCGGCCACGGAGGTCGTCAAACTCTTACTTTTAGCATCTCACAACCCAAAAAGTGGTAAATATTTGATATATTAAAATAAACTAATAGAACTCAAATCTCGAAAATTCTTAAAAAAAGGGAAAAGCATTTAAGCATTTAACTACTAGATGTTTAAATCTGAAGAAAATTTTATTAGATAAAAATTCACCCGGACAAGGCAGCAGACGGGTCTTCAGATGGGACGGTTTTTTTTCTAGTAAAATTTTCTTTACATTTAAACATCTACAAATTAAATGCTTAAATGCTTTTCCCTTTTTTTAAGAATATCTTTTTTTCTTTCGAGATTTTAGTTCTATTACTTTATTTGGTATATTTACCACTTTTTTTGTTGTGAGATGTTGAAAATAAGAGATGTACACATTAATGTCGTTTGACACAACACAAACATTCCGGTCGTTGCCATGGGCTTAATGAACTGCACCCTTGATTTTTCTTCGGTGTCTACACAATAATAATAGCAATCAAAATACAGGTGAGCAATTAATGTATAATTTCACATTGTGTAATTAAAGTTGACTTCATGAATCATCTCTGAAGTCATTTTTCAACTTGACGACTCTGTAAATGATAAAACAGGGAGAGAAAAAAACAGACCTTGCTGAGTTTCTTGCCGGTTCTTCTGAGTACAAGCTCTCCCGCCGTATGTTTACGAACCGATGGCGTAGCTTCTAGACATTCATATGTGCTTGTAACAGTCTAAATTGAATAAGTTATTTCGATTTTTTTGATTTTGAATAACAACTAAAATACAGTTTTTTTTTATTAAGGTATATTCAAGAAAAACATTTTTTTTTATTTATCATGTTGCTTTGTTCCATAACTGATATTTTGTTCCTTCTCTCTTTTCAAATCCATTTTGAATGTGTAGTAAACACTGTAATAAAGAAAAATATCAGATTAATAAAAAAAACGTGAGTGTCGTGGACCACTCGGTTGGAACGAAGAAGCAGGGAGTAAACTTCCGTAAGAAACTGCCATAATTAGATAAATCACCATTGAAAACTACCTATGGAAATTTCTGTAGAAAACAAAATTCGCCAAAACTAATTTTATACACCCAAATGGCGTACTAATACCTCAATCTAGCAATTCCGCTGTGGCGGAAAATCTTTCCCGTTTTTTCGCCTAGCGGATGGGCTAGGCGTACTGTCCGAAAAGGCACTTCGTGCCAAAAACCTATATGTATATAAAAGAAACTGACTGACTTACATATCAACAGAGCCCAAACCCCTAGGTCTAGCGACTCCAAATTTGGCACGTAGATTTCTTATGAGGTCTAGACCTAGTAAGAAATCTACGCGCCAAATTTACCCCGGGGTACACTAAGAAAGTATGCTTCAAAATTCACCCCGAAGCGTTTAAAATAAGGGATGAAGGTTTGTATGAAAAATCGTATTCCGTATATAAACATGGCACAAATACTTATCTAAATAAATTATAAAATATACATTTTTACTTTTCCTACCTACTACCCCCTAAATAAATAAAATAAACCAAATCCAAACCCAAAGAGAGCACTGTGATGCTTGTGTTATGGGATACTAGGGTAACGGATAGAATATATATACTGTACATATATAAGTATATTTATATAGAAATACATATAAAACATCCATGACTGGAGTACAAATGCCCGTATTCATCACACAAACTTTTGCCCCCTCCGGGATCCGAACCCGGGACCTATCGAGTCGGCGACACCATGAAACCCGGCGTACAAACGACTCGGCCAAGGAAGTCGTCGTTAATATCCCTACAATTTATTTGAATAATTAAGAAAAGCGCTTTTTTTGTAAAATTCATGTAAGATAGAGAAAATATTTCTAAAGTGGCCTTTTTTGTCAGGGGCACAAAAATACATAGACAAAAGAGCAAATTCGTTCAACTCTAATAATAACGAATGACTAAAAAATAAGGATATTTTGAATGAAAGTTTACCGAAAAGTTACGAAGTAGAAGATCTCGATAAGGCTCAGGAAGGAGAACCCAAGGAACAGACCCAGCAGCCCTCCGCACTGGCCCAGGAAATCCGTCAGACCGAACAGCTCTGAACGGCGGATGGACATGAACATTGGCTCCTTGTAGAAGATGTTCACCTTAGCCAATGGGTAATTTCTGAACGAAAATTATAGTTAATTAGGATCTTATGAGTATTAGATGGTGGGTCATAGCGGCTTTCCCGCTCGAAGTGGAGCTCCCGTCTGGGAAAGTTACCTCCACCTTACAGAAGACACAGTAAAATAACAGTACCTAGTTGGTTTTGGGTTTTTTCGGTGAGTAAGGTTCCACAGCTCCACGGGGTAGGGGATTAGGTCAGAGTAGGCAACGGCGCGAGTGATATTTTGTGTCTGTATTAGGCAACGGCGCAAATGATATTTTGTGTCTGTATTAGGCAACGGCGCAAATGATATTTTGTGTCTGTATTAGGCAACGGCGCAAATGATATTTTGTGTCTGTATTAGGCAACGGCGCGACTGATATTTTGTGTCTGTATTAGGCAACGGCGCGAATGATATTTTGTGTCTGTATTAGGCAACGGTGCGAATGATATCTTGTGTCTGTATTAGGCAACGGCGCAAATGATATTTTGTGACTGTATTAGGCAACGGCGCGACTGATATTTTGTGTCTGTATTAGGCAACGGCGCGAATGATATTTTGTGTCTGTATTAGGCAACGGTGCGAATGATATTTTGTGTCTGTATTAGGCAACGGCGCGAGTGATATTTTGTGTCTGTATTAGGCAACGGCGCGAATGATATTTTCTTGGCGAGAATGATGTTTGGCTCTATGGTAGCCGCTCACCATCAGGCGTGCCATAAAGCTAGTTTGCTTAACACAAAAAAAACGCATGTGCTTATGACCACACGACTGAAGTAAAACTTCTTTAGCTCCATCTGTATGTATACGTGTGTTCAATATATACATGTATGTACATATACATAGATAGATAGATAGATATATTCTTTATTACTCACACATACACAATTATAGGGTGTAGCAATTAAATTTAATAACGTTAAAACATAGCAATATAATTCTTAAATATTAAGTCGTAGAAATATTATTATTTATTCAGCGCCATCTATCATCATGCATATAAATTATTCAATATCGTAGTCCACTTTGAAAAGCAACGGACAAGTACAATATATGTGTGAACCTAGTAGTTGCATTTGGAATGTAAGTTAGATGGAGCTAGTGTGTAATTTTTTTAAATGAGATGCAAAATTGGATGTGACGTCACATTAATGTTCTGGAAACAGTGAGAGGCGGAGTCAGCAAAACCAGTCCGTTTGATTCCTCGCACCAAATATGGTGATATGAGAGAAATTTGCAATGACGCTGTCACGTGTTGTAGTAGCCTATAAATAGCAGTGCACAACCAAATTCGGTCTCTTTTGGCTGATAGAACCTTGAAGACCATACTTAGAAAATAGCATTAAGACTAGCAGTGGTAGTCAGTGCATTATTTACTTGATATTTCTCCCCGGATTAACGGGTAAGTTCAATACATTTGATTCGTTAGGCTGTAGGTCCAGTTAGTTTTTTTATTGAATTATAGAAAAATGTGTAATTGGTTCTAGGTCCATTAATTTGGCTAATTAATAACAGTAATAATCACAATTACTTGATCCTGATTGGAATCTCCTTGGAAATATATATATATATGAGCCTGTGAAGCTTTCTTGAGTAAAAAGTGACGGGTTCACGTGATGACAGCAAGTCCTGCTTCATCCCTGAGGACATTTGAGTCATCCTGATGCTCCCATGATCTTGCCAAGCTAAGTAAAACTTATAACTTCTTGATATTTAACCAGTGCATACTCCGGAGAACAATTTCTGTTTAACGTGATAAAGGATTTGTATTGGTGAACTGTAAAGCCATTATAAGAACATAACAAATTTTTATTGTTAAATTTCCAAAACTTAATATTTTATAACTTGTTTAATAATTTGTTTATATAAGAAACTTAAATTGAGTATTACTGTATTAGCACATGATCTTGAATGTATGAATATCTTTAAATCAAAAGAAAAATCTTTGAGGAAATATAGCTATGTATTTATTAAGTTGAATGTGACTAGTATTAAGTTTTAACCATGATGAAATAAGATCTGAATCTTTTTTTTGACAATATAATATCTTGTTCACTGCGGTTTTAGACATTTTCATTTATCTCCCTCAAATCACAGTATTACGGCGCCCTGATTATAAATTAAATAAGTTTCGAGTCTCATGTAAGCCCTGAAATAGCCGGTGATAACAAAAATTGTTACAAAATGGCGACCAACTTTAGGGCCGAGCAATAAAATACTGTATTTGAGGGAAATACTAATGTGTTAATATGATGATAAAAAGATTGGTGGAAAAATTTAATGCTTAAAATCCCCAATCAGTCTGAATAGCACATTAGAAGTAAATTACTTAATAACTTAGAAAACTTTAATAAACAATACTCTTGGAATACTAGTGTGTCTAAATGATGATAAAAAGGTTGGTGGAAACATAGATGCTTAAATCCCCAACCAGTCTGAAAAACACACTAGCATTAATTAACTTAGCACATTAGAATTAATCAACTTATACTAGAATAACACTTTCGTATTGATTGGATGTTTAAAAAATTGACCTTGAACAGTGAACAAGATAGTCTTTAAGAATTGAAACTTGTAATAATAAAAGTACCCTCCTTCAAAAAAAAAAAAAAATTATAAATTCCTTTGTATTTAACTTTCTTAGATTAAATAACTTGAATAAGTAGCTTGATTTAAAAACTTGATTAAACGTAATTTAATAATTAACTTAATAATTAACTTAGTAACAGAAATAACTGACTTTAACTTGAAAAAATCTGAGAAAATGCTCTCTTTACAAAAATATGTAAACTACTTAAGAAAGGATGAAATCATATATGAATTGGATATTCTTGGCATTTCCACAGCTCCTGACACATCGGTGGATGCACTGAGAAAGCAGCTTCGCCAAATTTATAAGCTGAAGAGACGTGGCAGCATCAAGTGTGCTCCAGTGATCACACCACTCCCGGCAAGCGAGCTCAAGGCCTGTACGCCGAAAATTGCTGAGCTCGAGGATCTGCTGTCATCAGGTGACCTCGGAAAGGACAGTAATCTTCACTTACGTGTGTCAGTTAGGGCTAATTATCTAATCGATAGACTTGCTCGATTGGAGGTTGACAATGCTTCTCTTGTGGATTTGCGCCACAGGCTCATACGTATCTTAGCTCAAGTAGAACAGGAAGATGAAAGTAGTTCAGACGAATTAAGTGATAAGGAAGGTACTCCCAAGTGTAGTAAAACCGGCATGAAGGATGTGAGGGAACAAGAGACGGATGAATATGTGTTGCCTATCTCGAAAACAGGGATGAATGAAAAGAATGGAAGTGAGGAATTAATCGTCATTAAAGAAAAACCAATTAACTTAAATTCACTTAATTTAAAATATAATGGTTCAGGTTGCGTTAGAAGTTTTATTGAGAGGTTAGAGGAACTTAGACAGGCCCGCGAGATTCCGCAATCTCGTATGCTGACAGCATTTTCCGATCTCTTAGAAGATTCTGCATTGGCGTGGTTTAGAAGTAACAAAGCGAACTTTAACTCATATTCTGATCTATTGTTACACTTAAGAGAGGATTTTGATATTCCGGATTTAGATTATCGACTTAAAAACGAAATTAGACAACGCACACAAGCTAGACAAGAGTCAATTGTGAGCTATATCTCCACGATGCAAGGAATGTTTGCGAGATTGTCTATTCCCATGTCATTAGAAGAACAGCTAGAAATTTTAATACATAATATTCGTCCGGAATATATGAAAGAGTTGGCTCTTCATAACGTTGATTCTATTCTTACGTTAAAACAATTAGGAAAGCGCTTGGAATTGGCTCAAGTCCGTGCAGAGAAATTTACGGAACCCAATTTGAATAAATTATTTATTTCGAATGACCTTCAGTCACGAAGAATAAAAAATAATTTCAAACCAACCCGACAGATCTCAACCGTAACTTTACCTCAAAATGTCTCAAATGATAGGAGGTGTATGAGATGTCAGAGTCGAGAGCATTTCACTAGAGAGTGTGTAAATTCGAGAGAAATTCTTTGTTTTAAGTGTGGTAAAAAGGGCGTAAGACGACCTGAGTGCCCACAATGTAATCCAAGTAATAATTCAAAAAACTAAAAAGTGGGAACTTCACATATAATTACGGTAAAAAAAGGTCACACATTAACTTAAATAACCGTGAAGTTCTCTTCCATAAGAAAAAGTTTGACAATAGACCTTATTTGCAATTTAAAATATTAAATGTAGATGCGTTAGGACTTGCTGACTCTGGTGCGTCATGCTCGATACTCGGCAAAAACTCGCACCTCATCTTTCTGAATTTAGGCTTTAAACTTAACACTTTAGATAAAGAGCGTATTGTAAAAACCGCTAATAGCACTGAATTGCATTGCGTAGGGTACATGTCTCTGCCCATTGAATATAACTCAATACTTAAGGTAATTACATTTTATGTTGTTCCGGAAATTACTACACCAATCATATTAGGTATTGATTTTTGGCACCATTTTGGTTTGACAAAAAACTTGATGTCATCCAACTTTAGTAATATCACTTTAAACTCAGAAAATCCTATTAACTCAATATCATTAAAAAACGGGTTAGAAGATTACAATAACTTAACGACGGCGCAAAAGCGAATAATTAATAAAATAATTGATAAATTTGACTTAATTAACACAGAAAAGGTTGGTCTTGGTAGAACTTCATTGGAACACCATAAAATAGATACTGGTAACCATAGTCCGATTAAACAGCGTTATTATCCCTTATCACCTATCAAGCAACTAGCACTCGAGAAGGAATTAGATAAAATGTTAGCCCTGGGGGTAGTTTCTCCTTCCCAATCGGCTTGGAATTCTCCAGTAGTAATGGTAGAAAAACCCAATGGTGAAACCAGATTATGCCTAGACTCTCGAAAACTTAATTACGTCACAAAACCAGACGCTTATCCCTTGCCTTATATTAACCAAATATTAGATCAACTTAACAACGCTAAATATTTAACCTCAATTGACCTTAGTGCCGCATAT